TTTAATCTAGAAAACTCTATGACTTATAGTCTGTATAAAAACATACATCATGTAAGTACACAAAACGTTTTAAGGACATCTCTTTCTATCTTTAGATTGTTATAATTAATAATAGAAAATATTGCACTTGAAGAATAAGCTGTTTCTAATCTTTATCATCTTATTGACCTATATATATTTTCTAAACATGTTTTTCAATTTAAATCATGATATTATTGAATACAAAACCTTATCTATATATATATTTCTTCAATCAAATAAAAAAATACAAGTATAATTCCATAACAAACTGAAAAATTCAAACATAACTTTTATATAAACGATGAACTGAAAGTGCTTGTGAATTCGTAGTTAAAGGAATAAGAGGTGGTGGTGGTGGAGTTGATGATGATGATGCTGATGATATTAATGTAGGTAAACTATGTGCTGATGAATTTGAACAAACAGGATAAGATATTGGAGGTATATATAATTCTGATTTAATAGGAAATAAATTTTGTTGAGTTTTTGCTCCAACAAATAAATTTTCATTATTTGTTCGATACAAAACATTATTTGTATATGTATATGTTCCATTTATTGGAGTAGTTGATAATTGTCTTATCTTATGATTGTTATTATTGTTGTTATTATTATTATTATTATTATTGTAAAATCGTCGTCGTTTCCGATTTGATTTTGTTAAAAGAAAAATAATTAACATTGATAAAATGAAAACAATAAATGACATTGGAACAACAATATAAAATAATAACTTATTACTTGATTGTTCATCTATAATACAATAAATAATTTTAAATATTGATATAAATGATTTTTTTCTAATACCTGAAGATCGATTTGTTAATGACCAATCCATTGCTGAAGAATGATTACTAAAGTCTTCTTCATCTGTATCATTAGTTGCTATTGAACGAAAATTATTATCTGAAGAACAAAGTTGTTTCACAGTCATACTAAAATAAACATAAATATATTTTTTTCGTTTATTAATAAAAATCAAAATTTACTCTGCTGGTAAATTTTTTCGTATTAAACAATCATTTGTCCAACATGCCAAACAAAGTTTTCCATTACATTGAATTAATTTAATAACTAAATATCCTTGAGAATTTGTCACGATAATCGTATACGAATTATCATCACTAAACAAACGAAATGAACTAATTTTTATCAAATAAAAATTTCCTTAATAATGAAGATATATATCGTCTGTCTGCCTTTACAATAGTGTCCTGCAAACCGGACGGGGACCCGAACCGGTAACTAGTAACATCACCGAATTTGTAACATTTTATTCTGGTACGATTACTAATATGAAAAAAGGAGTCAAAATAAGTCTGATAATGATTAAACGATCCATTACTCATCGTAATATTTCATAAAGAAAAGTTTAGTTTCTTTAAATAGCTTTTTTAATGTTTCAGATAAAAAGCTTTCGTAGTTTTGTTAATTAACATTTTACAATATGAAGGATGGATGTGAGATTAGAGAAAGATCCATATTCTCAACTAACTCCTAATTCACTTGTTTTTTTACATAATATATATTTTTCTTTGTTACTTATGAACAAAACTAAACGTATTATATTTATTGAATGAAATAAAAGTTTAGAAATTTGATTGTATTTTGAAAAGTAACGGAGTGGGAATGGTTCGGATCCGATTGCATTCTAGTCGGATCGGGCATAAAAAAATAGCCGGTTCAGTTTCGGATGCATAAAAGTGTACCCGTACAGGACTCTACTTTACAATAATCATCATTTACCATCTTTCTAATACTTTAGTTATGAGAGATATAATATACTACATACACTTTTTTATAGGTAATCGATTTAACTGAATAGTGCATATTATTTGGTAATATTAATTCTTCATAAACATGTGTTTGAAATGTTTGATCGGTAAATGCTGTTAGTAACCGACCATCACCTAAATTAAATTTTAAAAGATATTCTATAATTCAATCAATTAGTTTTTCATACTTGTGCCAATAATTAAACAATAACGATTGATATCATATTGTATAACATTAATTGCTGTAAATGTATATGTTGACATTGTTTCAATTACTAATGGATTTAATAAATATGGTAGAAATTGTTTTTCTGATTCGACCATATCACGATCAATTGTTGATGTAATTGATTGATTACAATTTAGAATTAATTCATTAACTTCACTATTTATTATTGATGTTCTTCTATTATTATGCTTCGATGGAGCAGTGAATACATCATAAAATTGTTTATTAAGTATAAATAAACATACAGCTGAAGCTGTGATTGATGAACTGGAATAAAAAATATCGTATTAATTGAAAAGTGTGAAATATATTCAATACTTATTTGTAGTAAATGTTGCGAAAAGTAATATTGAACCATTTGATGTATGAATTGGATCGACTAGAGCAGCTATGAAGTAGAAGAAGAAGAATAAAACGAATGATGAATTATTGAAATTCTATAAATAATTTATTACTTAAAATATGAAAGATAAATGAACGTGATTGATCAAACATATCGGTTGAACAATTAAGAATTGCTTTACGCACAATTTCAGCTCGATTAGCACAAGCCATTACTAATCGAGATACACGATTCTTAAAAAAGAATAATATGTTTTTTTTCAAGTTTATATAACTCTAAAGACCTTGAAGAAAATTTTTTGTTCAATATAAATCTGATCGACACTTCACAAATATTAAATTCGTTCTTTTTAGTTGCTTGTAATAGTATCTAGTACATTCTCCAATGGAGAGCAGGGACATGCTGAGCGAGGGAAGGACCAATAGGACGTAACACTTCTCCTGCTTTCGAAATTTACTTCAAAAGATGGAAGAAATATATACTATATTAATATTACACCTCACTACGCCTTGTTCTTAGTACCTGGATACGCCCCCCCCCCCTACTCTCCATATTTTATAAATAAGTATAATAATGTTCTTAGAGTAATCAGATTAGAAATGGCCATCATGTTTCATTAGAACTCAATGAATCTATAATCTTTAATATACAAGTTTCCAATCTGTTGAACTCTTTTTTAATATGTATATAATCAAAATCAGAGATTTTATCAACACACTCTTACTGTATCAGTTCGTTCAGATGTTTCAATAACTCCAAATACTGCTTTTCCATCATATTTAAATCCACCAATAAAATAAGAATCTAATCAAAGTATTAATTAGTATTCATAATAAAGATAATTGTTTATAATTTACTTTGTCTCAATGCATAAAGTAATGTTTTTCCTTGTGTACCACGTATTGTCGGAATATAATCACCTTGATAACCAGCTGTAACAATATTAGTATCAAAAGTTAACATTACATAGGAACTTTCTGAATCCATCGGAGGATGTGGATCACGTGTAAGAATATATTTATTAATAAATGACATTGAATGTAGATCAAACGATCGTACCATAGGTCGATGAGCATATGTACAATAAACATCCATTTTTGTATTATTAGGTAAAATTCGAACATGTACAACATCATTATAACATTTTTCCTTTCAAAGAAAAACCAAAATAATTTTTTATGAAATATAATTTTTTAAATTTTACTTTTGTATTCCATTCTTGAAGACATTCATCCATTGCTATTGAATCAATAGGCCAATTATAAGAAAATAATTCTACTAGAGAATTATTTAAATCAGGTTTTAATAAAATAAGTGTATCACGTGCACCATAGATAGCATAAGATTTATACCACTGGAAAAATTTCATATCAGATATAATCGTCTGATTTGAATTGTCTGTAGCTAATATAATTAATCATAAAGAAAATAGATCAATGATAAAAAAATGTGTATATTCAATCTTACTTAATTCATAGGATGATGATTGAACAAATGTCAATGTCTTATGCCAACCATGACAAGGAGTACTAATGAAGATTATTGAAGTAAATATTAATAGCGAGATCACAAGGATTCGATCTGTTTGTTGTTCATCAAGGTTCATACTTCATCTGGATGACATACAATAATCTTCATCAACAATATTCCATTACCTAGAAATAAGAATACAAGACAAAACGATGAGTATTATGTTTGTTTAATAAAAGAATATATATGTATATGTATGTATATACACAAGTAAAGGAGCACACGTGTATTGAGTAGTACAAGTATTTTGCTTGTCGAAATTCATCATCATACAAACAGCATGTCGCCGTTCATCATCTTTTACTCGAGTGCTTGTTCTTTCTTTCTTTCTTCCTTTCTTTCTTTTATTCTGATATGCATATACACGTTCTTTGATATCGATGAGATGAGACCACCCATATAAAGAATATCCTTACCAATGGCACGTAATTCCAAATAGACGAAAAAAAGATGTCAATTAGTGTGTTTAAAAGTATATTGATCAATAATCATGTTTAGTTGATCAATCTTTTCTGTTTGAAAGGACGATTTATATAGTTTCTATAGACATCGATCAATCTTAAACGTGACTTATTACTTTTCTCTTATTAACTAAATAGACAAGGTAATAGAGAGAGAGACCAGATGGAGACAAATAAATGGTCTACAGATTTATGGATGCTATTGCCTTACGGCAACTAATCTTGTTTCTATGATTATGTTGCCTTTTTTTCCTCTCTTATATTATGTCTAACTTGACTCGTTGTTTTTTTTTCACTATATCAGAATAGATAATCTCAGGCATTTCACATGTTTATTAACAATCACTTTTTTTTCTGAATACTAATTTTTAATCGATGTTCAAGTGTAAGTTTAGCATCACATTGAACTATATTACTGTTCTATTTATATATATAATTTCGGAGACGTATATTCAAGTATATACTTGTGCATATAAATGGGCGCGAACATGTATAAATGAAAGACAAAGAACATCGTTCACTGAATTAATAATTTGTCCAGACAACATACTACTAGTATATTGTATCTTGGGGGTATTCAAAAAAAATAATAAAATGGACGCGTTCATACTAACATAATCGTTTGAATAATCTTTCTAGTTTGTATCGTAATAGACAGAAGAAAAAAATCTATCACCTAATAGAAATGAAACATATATGATAATATTGTCATACTTGCCAGTCTATTTTGTCTATGTATTTTTTTATTAAAATTGATCAAAATCATATGTATACGATATATTTTAGCGACATTGATTACAAATAGAATAAAGAGAACGTGTGTGTGTGTATACGAGAGAACGAAGGGAGAGAGATTAATTGTTTACAACTGGTGTTATATATGCATATTACGATTAGGGATAGATATTATGGTCAACTATGATGGAAATCCAAGAACACTTCATCACTTGACAGAATGTCTGACAATATAGACAAACATACAAATGCTTGACAAAATTGTACTGATGAATTAGTAAAACAATTTTTTT